AAAGCCTCAGATGTCCGCTCTGCATCAGTCAAGTTTTAGTATTTCTGTGTTTCGTCTCGTAATGGCGATTCAAATTGTAATCCTTAAACACTGCGATCTGTTCTCCACAAACTAAGCACACGGCTTTACATTTGACTTCAGTAAATAAATACTTAGAAGTCCACATTTTGCTAAAAACTCTTCACTCTGTATCCGTCTTTCTTTTTTTTTTTTTTTTAAACATAGCTGTTAACCCTCAGAAATGTCAGCCTAACTCGCATCTCCCGTAAGCTCAGCTCAACACATTGCAGCGACGCTGCTGCTCGCACACATTCACAATTTATTTTCTAAAAAGATGCTTTGTATTCTCTTGCGCTGCCTGACGTGATGTGCATGTGGTGATCTGGTTCAACCTTACGGACAGTACCGGTACTTGATATGACACTCAAAAGCAAACTAACAATCACTTGCAATTCAAAGACATCGAGTTATTCCTCACAGAAAGATGACTGTAAATGAAAAGAACGAAGAGTGGATGGTCAAAGCAGGTAGAGACAAAAAAATAGGTTTTATATTTGGTAGCGAGAAGTGGAATCTCTTAACAGAAATAACTGTCACACTGCCTTGTTAATGAGCAAAGCTGGGACAGGTTATCGTTATGCAAGGAGCTGCAGAGCCTGGAAATGACCTGCCATCTCTTTGAGAAATGAGTGTCTGGCTCCACACAGAGCCCAGGGCTAAATACAGGCTTCCTCCTCCATAAAGACACCACTGTCATGACATATAATCCAGGAGAAGAAATATGACTCTGGTTAATAACTCCAAAAAGAAAGTTTACTCAGCAGCTGTTACTTATCCGTTTGCCCTTTTTCAATTTTAAATGTGAACTTTGAGGAAAGTCTCCCAGTGGGTCATTTCACTTCTTTCAAGCAGCAGTGAAGCTTTAACTGCAGGGCTCTGCTCAAAGAAAGGCTTAAACAATGATCAGCACAGTCGGGAGCCTTCTTTCCCAATGCAAGAAAACCCCCACTGACATCTGGCTTTTCTCTTCAATTGATGGCATTAAATCCTGGGACAAATTAATCTGCAGTAGTCACAGCCCAGCACACCATTTTACCTATGGATAGTGGTTTAAAAAAACCCTCATCAAAACAGTCTTTGTTGATCTTTCCACTGTCCCAACAATCACTGGTTTGGTCAAAAATATATTCTTAATTCAAAGTGAAAGGAAGCAGCCACTACAAAGCTACCAGACTCCATTGACCAGAACATTATTTTTTCCAATTAATCATATTTGTCAGTCTACCCATTTGAATTGAAAGTGACTGATGTACAGACATAAAAAAAGATTTTACTGTGGTCTATAGGCAATGGGAAAGGACTCTATTGCCTATTTTTAGCTTATTTTTCCCCTGTGTTTAAAACTACATACACGCTTATTTCCAGTAACTATGTTTAGGTTGTTGTGATAATAAATTGCATCCATTTTTATCACCTTTTATCACTACCCCAGTTTCCTTTGTGGGTTAGCGTTAACCTTTCACTCCGGGCTGCTTTCACCCAGAGCTTGAGGATCACTTTTGTCAGGGAGAGCAGAGTTCTGGGTCATGTGGTGCTGGTGAGGACATCCACGGTGAAGAGCCACTAGTGCCGGCCCACACTTGGTGCTGAAAAAAGATGGAACATTTTAAAGCTGCCAGATGACCAACTTAGTCTACCGACAATTGCCACACTGAACTTGCTTTGTTTCCTTTTTGTGAGTTTTGACTAAACAATGGAGATTCAGGAGCATACGGATATCGGTTAAAATTAACCCAAAATACATCCGAAGGTCATGGATTCAGTTTCAGTTTGCTGCACAAATGTGTCAGTGAAAAGATGTCAGCGCTGTAAAGTTCACCGAAACCTGCCGTTAGTTTTCTCTTACGACCGGATTACTTTTTCCTACTACTAAAACTGTTGCTCTGCTCAAGCTGTGGCATTGAGTGCTGGGTCTTTGTGAGCTGTAATGTACAGCGCGACTCTAATTAAAGTTGAGTGGAACGGAGTCAATAGAAGCGGTTTGACTTAAGTAGTTTTTATGGCTTCATAACGTGTCCCGGAACTCAGACTGGTGCAGTATATCCAGATAATCTACTCCTGAACCTTTTACGGCCCCTCCTCTCGGACTGCTGGCAGCAGCTCGTGTCTGCTGGTGTGGAATATCCTATTGAATGTTTACTCTCATCCTTTTAAGTGTGATGCATCATCCGTCTTAGTTATTGACGGACCAGCTTTCCGCTCTCTGATTCATCGTGCGTGTGAATATGTATCGTGAATTCATTGTGCATGTGAATCACGTATGTATGCAAACGGCCCCCTGGTGATGATGGAAGGATGAGATGTCTCCATCAATATTTTCAACGCAATCCCGAGCTCCCGTTTCAAAGTAGTAGTAAGTTAATGGAAAAGGATATTGATTGATATTTTAATGGGTTCAGTCAGAAGCGTTTTCTGTGAAATGCTGAAGGCTCGTGTCCAAATCCACAGAGCACTTTCCAGTGTAGTTCTCCAGGGATTATTTAATGTACACCTTAAGTGCTCTGATGGTTGACTCTCACTGGGTCGCTGCCACATGCAACTGTAATGGAACTCCTTTCTTTCCTGTGTTTACATCGTGCTGCTGAATGGCATTTCATCCCAGAGACCGTGCTGCATTTCTGCCCTTTCTTTCCTGTCACTGTGTGTGTGGCTCCTTCCATTGAGGCCTCAGTGTACAGAGGAAAGGGCTGAGGTCTAGAGTCTGGATTCAGGGGACACAGTGGATACGAATCCTCTGAGCAGAGTGTGTCCCTAAGGATGGACCAGGGCGATGGTCATTATGTCTCCGTCAATACTAGCTTTAACTTGTTTTTACTGCGGCTTCAATTTTTACTCTAGTGGCTCTAAAAGATGTAGCTTACCAATACTCTCCTTTTATATTTGCTGTTTGTTGTACAGCCCAACTGGTGACGCCCTTCTTACCCATGAGTTTGGATATGCAATGTAAAGTAACCGTAGTCTCTAACTGCTGGCTTCGTTCTTTCTTTACATGGTTTCAACAGTTGTTACTGGGCAGCCTGTTTGCTCAAACAAACAACCAGATGAAATAGACAGACTTCATCTATCCTTTCATTCAAAGAGCTTACATTATCTGCAAATCCATTTCAAATCTTGTGCTCCCTGTAACGTGTGTGTGTGTGTGTGTGTGCACGCTTTTAGTATGTCAGGGGATTACCCTCTTCTTCCTAATCGCTGTGGGTCATGATGTGACCCGACTCAACATTGTGATGGTCTGTGTCACTGTCTTTTAGTTGCGTTCGTAGATAAAACGGCAAATGTTACATGGTCAGACCTCAGCAACTGTTGTCCAATCCTATTGGTTGTATCCACTCGCAGCTCAATTACAGTGACTCGCATTCACTGTTGACCCTCGGTTTAACCTATCAGAACACACAGCTTAACTCTGTCCGTCCCTGAATGTTTACGTTGAATTTCTCCAGATATTTGTTGAGCTGAACAGATACACTCTTACCCCCCCCCCCCTCCCTCTGGTGTTTTGCTTGTTTGACAGCAGGAGCTGTGAAGCTGAAATTGTTTTGCTTTGACTTTTCCATGGAGATTTGGGAGCTCCAAGCTGTTCACAGCTCCACATGTATCACATAGCTGCTGTGTGTAGTCTGTATTACTCTCCACACATATACATTTTGATATCCATAGGTTTGATGGATTATTAATGTGGAAAAGGTGGTAATAATACCCTTTGGCAGGTGTCAGTGGGCTTCGTGCTGAGATACTGTTGCCTGTAGTAGTGGTAGTGGTGGTGGTATTTCTATATTGATGCAACTGTCTCCTACAATCTTTGCTACAAATGCCGGCTTGTTTCAGGTAGTTTGTGTCTCAAAAGATAAGAATAACATTCATTATAAATGATCATATCAGGAGTTCCTGAGGGCAGCCCAAGATAACCGTTGTAATACGTTTGGACTACATGGCCCGCAGTGTAAGCATGGACTCACTATTAGTAACCGGTAGCCTAAGTGTAGGGCTGTCCCTAGCGAGTGGAAGAAGAGAACACCATCATGCTGCACATAGAAATACAGACTGGGTGGAGGTATCTCTCCTTCACTGTTATTACAGGGATTTCCATTGACAATAGTCCACGGTCCGCTTATGTTTAAGGGCAGTCAGACATTATTCTGGAGGGAAAACATGTTGATCTACAATTACATGAAATTTGAATGAGTTATTGTGGAGCCTCCTCATGTGTCTTCTTTCTCCTTTTTTTTTCATTTGCATTCTGACCCTGATAGCTTTTTAGTGAGAGGTGCCCTCATGCTACAGTAGCATGGTAGCCTCTCAGCAGCCCACTAGCATTTTTCTGATCGTATATAGTTATTCTTAGCCTCATCTCAGAGTACGATAGCTATAGACACGACAGGACTGCCCATGCACGAGTTGTCTAATAGGGGGGGGGGGAAATTAGGGTCGAAGAATACAAATAGGATGAGATGGAGAAAGAAAGTAAGCTGTAGTGAATCTCAGCGCATAGCCTGGTTATTCATGTGGCTTGCTAATGTGCCCTCGAGCTCCAAGGGAAACCACAATGAGAGCCATCGGGGGCTTCCTGTCAAAGTGGAGTGCAGCACTGACCTCAGGGCTGCAGTGTGACATGTAAAGCCACAGAGATGAGCCTGACACTCAGAAGCTTCCCAAGGAGGTGGCATGCTCGCTATGAGTCCACGTTTTATGTTATGTATTGGCTTTCCAAAGCTTGAGGCGTTTCTTTCTTTCTTTTCAGTCTCTTGGATATTTTTGATCTACTCGGTGGTTTAGTTTGTGTTCATATTTTCTCCACGGATGTCTCCCTGATGTATGTACTCTAAGTCCTCTCTCCTCTCCTCAAACAGAAGTTTATTTTTCTTCTTTAAAGTCAAGATGCTGGAGTAAGTTGTACTGCACTGGTGCACCTGTATGACTGGTATAACGTCTTCTCTCTACAGGGCATCAACATAGCGGGACCCAGTAATGCAGAGCCCCCACCTCAGCCTCCCAGTCCAGCCATGTACCAGCTGGATATCATCCTGAAGAAAGGGAACAACCTGGCCATCCGAGATCGAACCGGTAGGAGCTCTGTTTGCTCTTCCTGTTACCTCAACAGCTTTGAGTTTTATGTGGGGAGACGGCGTGGACAGCTTTATTTAGCCGACCAAATTAAAGCAATTGCTTTGTCGCTGTCGCAGGCGGTCCGGCACACAGGATGCTGCCATCCTCAAAGAACTGAACTGTCTTATGCTGTTGTATCCTATATTTGTCTGCTATCTTTAGGTGTCCACTCCTATCTTTTATATGTGCCTCTGTTTGTAAATGTAATATTTGTTTTGGCACCCCCTTTCCTCTTTTCACCTATGTTCTCACATTTCACTCCTCTTCTTCTCTATCTCTCTCCCCATGTAGGGTTTTATTAGATCACACTCACATTTTCAGTGTGTGAAGTGAGGTGAAATCACGAGGAATGATGCGGCATATTTCCTGTGCATCTAGGCATGAAAAGAATTCAGCTGTCGCTTAAGCTACAAGATTATCACACTCGGAGGCAATACTATCATCTCCTGGTTACTTTAGTATCGCATGACTAAATCATAGTGTGAGTCTTAACTTCTCTATCCCAGTGTTACTGGCGGTGTGATCAAGGCTTTTAGTGTCAGTAAAGACTTTAGAGAATTGTATATTTGTCTATGCAGCCCATACTCTCTCACATGTTTTTGCATTTTGTGATAAATATTTGATTTAGTAGCTTTAAAGAGCCGAAGTTAGAGACTCAAAATTAGGATGAGTGTCACTTTGTGATGTTTGAGAGGGGTCAGTGGAGCAGCAGCGGGCATGTTTTCGTAGTGCACATTTCTATTTCTCCCATTGTGGTAAGTAGTTTATCAACTCTTTGCTATAAAAGATATTAACTCGACCCCTCTGCTAAACAGGGTTTCTCCGCTTCTCTGGAGTGATTGTCATTTTAAGTGCAGGACAGGAAGCTCTCATACTGTTAAACACTCAGTTATGTCTTGCATGGTGGAAAGGCCAGCCAGCAACAACAGGCAACGCCAGAGATTCTCTTATAAACTCTCCCAGACAGCGGTTTGGATAGTGACGGATTTAGGGCTCTCATTAGTGGTTGTAGAAGTCACCATGACGACGAATCCAAATAAGCTGCCATGCTCCCTCCTGTACATTTTGCCTGACTACCTGTCTCCCCGGAATAATGAGCATTGACGCTCAGAGCTCACCCGTCCTGTCCCGAGTCCGTCAAGACGGCTCATTATGAGGGAGAAACTGTAAAATATCAAGCAATATAGTGGATTGAATTTAATATGAGCAATAATGTCGTAATAAGTGTTGTTTTGTCACAGTGTTCAGAAAATACTTTTTCTAAATATGAATATATAAAACAGTTTAAGTCTTTACACGTTGTACTATCAGGATATCCACATGTTGCTGCTGTCGTACAGCAGGCCAACAATACATCTCCGAAGGATTGGTGGGATTCTCCGTTAACCAATCGGTCAAGGCTCCCTTGTCAGAAGTGCTGGGTTGTTAAATAGAAGTAGCTTTCTGCGGGAAGCCGTTGTGGTTTCTATTGTTTCACCAAAAACCCTACATGAATTATAAATAACGCAGACGGTTTCCAGTTTTGTCTGCAAAGTGTTTTCAGGAAACTTCTTTTCAGAAAAGCTTATGCATTATGGAATTATCGAACATTCAGATCCAGTGAACCTGGAAGTGAAACTAAATATAACTGAGCTGAAGCCAAGTAAGACCTCAACGTGCAGACTGACGTGCTCATCGCGTCATTACAGTCACCTTAACTAGTGAGGTGTCAAACCAGGGGGCTGATGTCTGATTTCCAGTTAAAGTGCAGTGTCACTGTGTAATGTATTGCGTGCTGAGATAGCAGGTAGTCTGACACAGCAGCCCTGGTCCATGCATCATAGTGATGTATGAACCCGGGGGCAAGGTTGACTAGTCAGAAACAAAAGGGGGGGGGGGCCTCAGTGACGAGGTGCATCTGGTTCCACATAAGCGTTTTGTCTTCTCCGATGTTCCCTTTGTCTTTTGTGCCTGCGTGAGGGAACCAGAGCTACTTGAAATGGACAGCTCTCACAGCCAATCGAAGGACCTGTTGCTATTACATAATTATCTCAGGTTGAAGAGATACAAGTATGGATATCCTGTAAGTTAATACAAATCTGCCTTTAAAGACTGACAGAGAATCAGCAATGGCAGCTAAACATTGGAAACATTTGAAAAAAATTGTCCAACTACTTTTTAGCCCTTTATGGTCACTGTCTGTTACCATAAAGCCCGAAGGTTAGTTATGTACATGTAGTAGCTCACCTTATGATGGTATTATACTGTATTTCACCGTGCTGTAGCTTCTAAGTGAGAACACTGACACTTATTTCCGTTGTAATCAAACGCGTTCTCTTTGAGTTAATTTGTTTACTTTATAGGTTGCACAGTATATGTTTATCTATATTCAGCATAGACATTTACCATCTATTGTTTCTTCTTGTGGTGCTTGGAGGCTGGTTTTTCTCTAGCTGAGCCCTCTCAGTACACAGACCTCTGAGGGAGGATTTCCCTCATCCTCATTGCTTGATGGGAGTAAGGAGAGATATCCCTCACTAGTCTGGTGTTCAACACACAAGAGCCATTTGGGAGCTTTTTTATACAACCACATAACGTGCTGGCATTGTTGTTAGTCTCTCTCCAGGCTGCACAAACCATTTCACCATTTGTTGCCAGGAGAACCAGCCAACGCATGAAATGGTTTTAATATTATGACAAGATAAGAAAAATAAGCTTTGGATATGGGTGAATGACGTTGATTAATGTATTTCAGTTGTTTTAACAAGGAACAGCTTGTACAGCAGAAGCATTTACCCTGATGTGGTTTTCAAGTCTAATCCTGCCTTTGTTCGTCTACACCTGCCTCTGATGATATTGTATTGGATTTAAACTGCAGGAAGAGGAACATCAAAAGGAGTGAATAAGAAGGTGCAGGAGTGATGGCCACATGATGTCTTTTCTGGTTTATTGTTCCAGCCAAGCAAATTCTACCCGTCAAATAATCTTGCTTTGAACGTCACTCTTACTTGTTCTATGTTGTAAAGACCCTGTTGTGTCCTCATGGCCCTGACCTCGACCTAGCTGTCATTTGTGAGGAGCCAACGGGACGTTTTGCAGCTTTAAAGGGGGCCTCAGATAAAAACACACTGCCCTCTCTGTCTTTATCGCTAGTTCCCTCTAGCTGAGGTACAACAAGGTGAATCTTTTTCATCGCCTAAGGCATGATCACCTCACTTCCAATCTTGGTGTGTGTGTGTGTGTGTGTGTGTGTGTGTGTGTGTGAGAGAGAGAGAGAGACTGTTCATGAATATGCATCCTCAAAGTATGCATCAAGAAATGCCTTTCCAGCAGTCAGAGAGGATACAATCTCAAAGTTGTCCACTTTGATGGTATGGGTCAGAGATGCACCGACACCACTATTTGTCAGACCAAGTACAGGTACTTGCATATACTTAATAATACTATTACAGTTCTAACACAGACTTTGAAAACATGTTTTATTTTCATCAGATGTTCCTTACTTTCTGAATGTAACAATTGTATATGTTAATATACAACATGATGCTATTGGCTGCTACTGTAACTGTCCCGGACAGGTGAACTGGGGAATGGCTGTTTTTCGCATACACTGCAGCTGGTGATAAAGGATGGATTTAACCTGTTGGCAGTTTGGCGGCTTATTAAACTCGACTAACAAGAAGTTAACGTCAAGTTGCCATAAAGTGGTATATGAGTCAGTATGAGTACAATGTACCAATGTTGAAGGTACAGTGCTCGTACCCTACTAGCTGGAGCGACAAAGCATATGTACCATTTCAGGTTCCTGTATCTTGATTTCTTAATGCGTATACTGGGAAGCTCTCAACTGTTGTGGGTGTATCCTATCGTTAATTCTTTATCACAAGCTGCTGTCTCCCATCCTCTGTTCAGATACATTTACCGTAGTCACGGTATTCCAATCCCTGATGTGAAGGAAGCTCCTCGCAATACATTTCTGCAGACTTAATATTTAACACAATTTTGTAAATGGTTAAATGAAGTCTAAATGTATTTTCTGTATAACTACTGGTTGCACTAGCTATAATGGATTACGTGCAGTGCTATCCTGATTCCTAGTCCTTACACATTGCTACTAGAGTGTGCTGGCTCTTGTTTGAAAGGACTAATATTAGTGTGGAGACCGATGAGTCTACAGCGAGCCTAATTATGTTGTCTGCCGCACAACAGTTCTGTAAGAAAGCAGTGAGAGCCGGAGCCTGACACCACAGTTGGCATGTCGTCTCTTGTTTTATTTCAAGTCCCCTTCATTGCTTTCCCCCACATGCTGTCCAGTGTTTTATTTTTTGTTTCTGCTCAGTGCAAGCGATCTTACTGTTACTGTATCTCAAGCGTTGCAACTGCAGCAAGATCACGTTGCATATTAACGAAGGTTCATTTTGGGTTAACGTCAGTTTACTTCGCTGTCCTCCGCTATCGGCGTAAAGCAGCAAGAGGCAGAGGCATGCACGTGTGTGGCTGTGTGCCATTTTAATGAGACAGGCTCTCAGTCCATCTGCCAGCATCTCGTGATGGAGTTTCTTGTCTTTGCAGCCTTTTACAGCCAATACATCCTCTTCAGCAGATTGCATTCTGGGTAATGGGATACCCCAGAGCTGCAACCATCAGTCAGTCCTGACACTACACATAGGCCAGCAGCTCCCACACTACGCACACACAGTGCCCACACTGTGAGCATGAGGCTGCTCCAGGTCTGCAGCTCAAGCATGACTCGGGGGTTTTATGGGCGGCTCGACTACATTTTTCTCCTCTCCTGTTCTCGCGTCTCATCATTGAGCCTCTTTCACGAAGGTGTTTTTAATAGCGGCCCTTTTGAGAGGCAATGTGTTGTAGGTCCTCCTTTATCAGTGAGGCAGTGAGCACCAAGAGGAAGGAAACGTTCAGAATGACCACTTCATTATAGGGTTAATAGGGAGGGTTAATATGCTGCCGCATTTAGT